TAATGCCATTTTCAAGACAGGCTGTTTCCACACAGAATTTATTTCCAGGTTTTGAATGACAAAATAACTGCAGTTGAAGTTTAGAGTTTGAAAAAAATGCAGATCCTTCCCGTAACATGAAATTAATCATTAACACCAGCATTGAGTGAATATGCTTAAAAAAATTAGACTACATCTACATTTGATATCAGCATTTGATCTGTGGCAGAATAATGAATTTAGCATGTTAATGACAGAATGAATGTGAATGTACATGTAACATTTCAGCCATTCATTAGTGGTCAAACTCCAGTATTTCTGTTTGTTAAAAAGAAAATATATTGCTATTCCTGACAATAGGTAATGGGTGCCCCTGTTCAGCTGTTGGTATGTGAGGTATGAGTGGGGTCAATAGGGGTCAAGTTGTTAGCCATAGGATGTACATGCAGTTATGCACTATTGGCGTCCCTGGATGTGAACCACAGGTCCTGTGTACATGTACATGTACCTTCTACATGTACCTGTATGGCTCATGTATAAGAGAGGCATCTTCTGCTAGTTTGGCATACCGCCCTCTGTTGATGAAAGAACATTGTACAGCTTTCATTTCCTATGCAGCTGGACTCTGATTTGACAGAGAGTGTTGGTCTGTTATATTTGTGTCAGTACCATTTACATGTATACCAGTGATATGGATTGGTCAGTGACCACGGGCTTACATTCAGTACATGTATCGGTACATGTACACTATTTATGTACGGTACCACTGCATACGTGAACATGTATACCGTACATGCTGGCGCCTCTTGGCATTGAATTTTTAGGACCTACTACTATGAATACACATGTTTTTAAAACCACTATGTACAGTTGAACTTCCCCCATCAAACAAATGAATCGGTGTCTTTGGGAATTGGTTCTGAAACTAAAACCCTATGCAATCAGGTTCTGTAAATCAATACAACCTATGTACAATAATAATAATAATAATAAAGCATTTATAAGGCGCACTATATCTGCAAAGCATTCAGAGGCGCCTGTCTAGGTGGAAAAATGAAAAACTCAATTGTGCATTCACAGTGAAAAAGCTTGTGAGAAGAAGAATGTTTTGAGATGATGCTGAAATTGCTTGATGTCATGTTCTTGTCTCAGATGATCCGGGAGTGAGTTCCATAAGCGTGGTGCAATTGTAGAAAAAGCCCTGTCTTGGCCAGCCGAGTCCAGGGAACAACTAGGGTATTACTTGTTGACCTCAGACCCGGCCTGACAGAGCGGAGTTGCAGCATGTTTGCAAGATAAAGGGGACTAGAGCCATGGAGTGTCTTGAATGTGAGAAGGAGGATCTTGAACTGAATTCTGTATTTGATGGGTAACCAATGTAGTTTGTTGAGAATGGGAGTTATGTGAGCTGTACAAGAATCGTGTGGAATCTTTGGAATGGTTGGGGTTAAGAACTTGCAGTTTTGATGAATGAAGAGACAAATGGATGTTATTTGGAGATTCCAGAAGTCATTGCCAGGGTTTTGGTTATTCAAAGCCATTATCTTCTCTTTATGTAAAAGTCTTGCATATTCCTTTTTTTTAGGGGGGGGGCTAACTATGAACTTTAATATGTTACAGAATGAATTCATGCATTTTATTCCTCCCTCTGTATGGTGTCCATTCCCATCCCCAAAAGAAATGAAATCCTTGTGACATGTACATGTACCTGACTGCATTCATTACATGTAATTACACCAAACAAGAAAAAACCCTAGGTCTGGTTTGATTTTTTCCTCAGACTCAGACAGTGATATTGCAATTTCAAGGGAAACATTGATGATTTTGTAGTAGCCGTGGAATGTAATGAAATGTCTGGACAAAGGACTCCGCCCATGGTGCCTGTAGACTGCTAAACTCTGGATGGGAGCACCAGTGTATGAAGGCCAACTCGAGACAGCTCATACATGTACCGGTAGTATTGTATATGGGTATGTATGTAAGTACCGGGGTACCTGTAGATAGAGTTGGGGTCTCTTAACTCTTAGAACCACTCCAGAGGGATACAACAGCGTAACAAGTTCGGCAAAGTTACTCGTTTTGTGTATCATTGATACACAGTACATGTACATGTGCTGTAATAATGGCTGAAATGTTGGTCTGCCTTGTAGCGGTGAACAACACCTCATATTTGTAGCACTCATTACCTACCGCAACCTTCATGTACATGTACATGGATATGAAATTTACAAGTAAACAATCCACACACTGTAAATGACTACATGTATGTGTGTACTGATACAAGCACGTTCTCCTTTAAATGTGATAAAAACTACATGCTATGTACAACAGTAATCAGCTCCAATTGTATACTTTCTGTGCATGTGTTTGTAAATTAAGTAGCATTTGCGTATGTACATGTACTCAAAGTTTGCCTTAAGAGTCCATATTTATAGCAAATTTCTATCCTTTGGACAGTTGTGATATGAGTTTCCCTTCTGCCACCTCAGTTAAAACTGAGAGATTGTGATGTCATTCCTTTATGGAACAAGTTGAAGGGTATTCCTCACATGCCAGCGGTGCACAGAATTATATTCATTCTGACAAGGTCTTATTTGGTATGATGCATTGAAGGTTTTGTAGTACACATCTTTGACAAAATATATGAAAGAAAAAAGACATTCAAATTTCTGTCATTCTTTGGAGTTTCTTTCATTAAAATATATGTTGTACGTACATTGTACCTTTTTCATTTGAGCAGTGCTTAGCCTGTTGAACTTGAAAACAACTTACGAAGCTGTCACTTAGCCACTGTTGCTACATGTATGTACATGTATGTCAGTGCATGTACCGGTACATTGTAGATCCCATGATGTTTTAATTTTGTTGAAGTACAGTACAAAGTACTGTTATTTACAAACCACAGAGATTATATCATTATCAAGGTACCCGATACTGTACAGTGTAGAATCTCGGCCACTTCAGGACAATTCTTGTTCCAAATTTATGAATTTGCTGTCACAAGTTCTTTTGTTCAAGAACATGTACATGTATGTTATAATTATGTAAATGAGCATATTTTTGTGTGTATTTAATAAATTAATTAAATTAAGTTGAAATAAGTGTGGTTGTGTGTATTGTTAGAATAATTTGCTCTGTTGCACCGGTACTGTAGAATTGCACTTGTACTCTGTACAAGTAGCCCTTTCATTTTATCTGATGATGAACACCTATTTGAATGAGGCAATTTGCATTCTGTGGCTGAGAATGACATACATTGTAAAATGAAAGTCAAACATGACAAACTACATGTAGCATGCGGATATCTCCTTGATTTATGAGCTAACCAGAATATAGCACAGTCTTCTCTTTGTTATACCACATATACAAGTACCATACACTTTGTGCTTCACCAAGTACATGTACATATATGTAGGCTTATCTACAGTTTGTATTTTATTGTTCCAAAATATGCACCTGAAAATTCTGGATTTGGTTCTGAGCATACATGTAATTTGTCTCCAAGGTGAAGGCACAGCGGATTACTTTTTGATTTCCATGCCACTGAAAGGTTTGATAAGACTAGTAACACGGTGCATGTTTGTGTGTACCGGTATGTGTACATGTAATTAACTGCAAGAAAGTTGTTCTTTTCAACAACATATATTTCTTTTCTTTACCTTTCTGGTGTGTTACATTGTGTCAAATGTTGCATCATGGAGAGGAACACACCAGAGTGTTGTTGGGGGAGGGTCAGGCCCTTCTTTTTGTCTCTTATTGTACTTAATTCCAAGGTGTTAAACCAAGCTTGCTACCGGTAAAGCAACAAAATATTGTTTGTTTGGTTCACACATTGAGTCATTGCCTAGTGCCTACCGCCCAATGGTGATCAGAATGGGAATATGCTTCACTAATATGAACATAACATGTACCTTTCATGTACACGTGAATATGTACATGGTGCCAGAAGGATCTGCAAATATCCATTTTAAACATATTATCAATTGACTAAAAATTGACAAAATTTTGAATAAAGAAAACATTGCCAGAGACAAACTTACAAAAAATGTAGTTTGTCTGCATGTCGGCATTGTACAATGTACACGTACATGTATGTATTCAGTCACAATTCACATCACAGTGGCATTCTGCCAAGTTCTGACAAGCCTACATGTATAAGATAGATGATATGGCATCTTATGTCCCAGTACATGTACATGTTCACATGTTGTGCAAATAGGATGGAATATTTGGAAGGCCTCAGATTTTCCCTTAATGAACCAGTAGTCAGGGATAGCCAGCTGTATCTGAATGGACTCGTCGATGTTTGGTTGGGGGCATTGAGAGAAGGCTTTAGGGGCATATGTGAGCTGTAAAAGCTATATCTAGTACCTTACAAAATCATGGAGCTTACATGGAATTATGCTTACGTTGTGATGTTAATGACTAATCCCTTTACCTATCAGTATACGGTCTGAAATGTAATTTTGTACCATGGATGGATGGAGCATTAATTGATCCATTTGTACTGGTAATGTAATGTACCGGTACATGTACCTGCAGATTGGAATGTTCCACTTGTGTGTACTGCAGTTAAGATGAGTAACTCATGCCACATGATCAACAATCCACCAATCAGATGATGGGGATTTATTTAGATGTACATTCCAGTATAATCCCTGAGAATCAGGGTAGCATAAAAAGAAATATGACTCTTTTATCCGCCCTGAGTTGAAGTGCACCCTCACCAGTGATAGAAAGACCTGTGTCAAATTCATTGCACATACTCAGCGTGCTCCGTGCCAAATTTGTGCGCCTATGCGCTGAGTTACCGTTGTACCAAAGGACTGTTAATGTTTTTTTAAAAACATGCCTTCTTTTGTTCCCGCTGGGAGTGGATGGTACATGTACTTCAAATGTTAATCTATTTGCACAGTACGAGTACACACCACACATGCTGTGTGTGTAACTGTCAGACAATTTTTGTGATTGACCCTTTATAAGAAACATTAATGAACACATACATGTACCGGTACTTGTAGACATGGGTGTATACATGTACGTGTATACTGTACAATGCATCACAAAAAGCTTTACCACAAACCAGGTGGCAGGTGCAATCATAGAACAACAGTGAAAATTCCCCTACTAGTACATGTACATGTACGGTACTACAGAGCTAAAATGAAGCTCTGTGGTAAGACCAAAACATGTGTTGTCACTATAGTGAAATGCATACTATTGTACTATGTACATGGACTTGGTCTGCGCTGATATGTACTGGTACATGTAGTAAGGTTCTCTATAAATGAGCTAGCTAACAACACAAAAAAATGGAAATCACAACCTCAAAGCCAAGTTTCACTTTTAGAAAAATCTTTTCATTATTTTTCCCATTATTTCTTCAGCAGCTTGCAATGAACAAAATTCCCCCAGGGTTGACTGAAAACCCAGGCTAATTGATATGCCTCACACACCCTAGGCTACATAGCTGACATTCCACAGATACCAATTTGCATAGTTATCCAAACAAGCCCCAGAGTAGGGTTGATAGGGACCTCATCATTGGCTGGCACAAATGGTTGGTGGTATGTTTGCCGAGACTGGATTGGTCAAGGTAGTTAGGTTGGTTTGGACATGGTTGGGAGAAGCATGCTCCAGGAGGAAATGGAGGCTTTTATTGCATCAACAACCTGTATGACCACAGATTGGATGGGTTAGTGAGGCAAGTGTGCACTGTACTTGGAGCATACTTGAGGTTGAATTGAAGGGTGGCTTGTCATTTGCTGCCACATGATTTTTGGAGCCTGTCCTTGATAATTCAGCAGTTTGTCTCCTTGCAAGTTAATAACAGGTTTAGAATTCTCAGGCTAGCCTTGGAAGCTAATAACTCTTTGGAATCATCTTGTCAACATTGGTTCTTGGATGTTTTTGCAAAGTCTGAGGATGGAAACACTGACCTACACTCAGCTGTTGCCGTGTTTTGATCCAATGAGGCTGGCATTTTATGAAGGTAGGATAACAAAGAAATGTGATATCATCATTTGGATACATGTATGTATATGTGTTTTGATCGACATAGGTTCAAGTTATTCAGACCATGTTCAGATGGGGGAAAATTTCTCAATGTAAGTTTTAACACAGAAAATGCTCCTATCTAAAGAATTACAGGGCAGCAGGGCCTGATGTTTCAACCCTATTCTTAAGCAAAATCTTCAGACCCATGTTCATGTCCATATTTAAGATTTACATGTACCATATGTGTAGGTCACTATAGTCAGTAGTTTGCTGCATTGTATTATGTACATGTACATTTCAATGTATAATTACCAATTGTATAACATTTTGGACATGTCAGATCACATGATTCTGGGAACTACCGGTACTTAGAAGCCTTTTTTGCCTAATTGGGTATGGGATGATCACAAATAATGTACCCTCAGAACTGTGGGGTCCGATGTCCACCCCACTCCCCTTAGTGGATGATGGATCCCACAGTTCTGGGGGTAAGAATGATGACTTTTCAATTAGCAGATTAAATTACACGCGTCTTTGGTGTGTGAGCCTACAGGTCCAGGACACTGAAATCCTATGTTTATTGGAGTGTAGTCCAGTATCCATATTTTAACTCAGACATGATCGAGAGAAGCAGAGAATGAACTGTTGCTGTGAATTTTCTGGAACTGAGATGCTGCAGTGTAGACGACTGGTACACTTTATTTTGTATGTACATTGTACCATACATAAATCCGTGGGTGCATTCTTCTCAAAAGAGAAGATGTACCGGTAGGTCTATTTTGTTTATGGTCACCTATTTCATTGAAAATTGGCAAAATGAGTGAGAAGGACATCGTTGTTTGCCCGTCATGCATCATGCCAGTGTGCATGTACAGTACATATGGGCCTTTTCTGGTGACTGCAGTGCAGAGTCAGCAAAGTTGAACCTGATCCAACTTTACCGACTGCCTGCGTCTTTGTGGCTCGTCATGATAAAGTGTTCCATATGATTATGTATTGTTGGGACTGATCGGCAATGCTCTCTACATACATGTATGTATGGAAGCTAGGCTTTACCTTCTTTGTGTTCGCTGGGAAAGAGCCAAGCAATGACTTATTTTATTCACCGTTTCCCAGCTCGTTATCTCTTCTTTTTTTCACGAAGCAGCACACACTTGAGCTCTGAGGACTCAGGAAATATTGCACAGCATCCCATCTCAGCAGGTTGTTCTTTGTTCAATGGTCCAACCAAAATGCCTGGGATTTATTTCAAGGGCCACCTGTCAGAGGAGGAAGTAATTCATAGCATGATAATTTGACTCATTGAAAATTGGTTTTGTGGCCCCAGCATGCAATATGTAGAAGACATTTTTAACATATTTGGTACAGGGAAGGTGTGTTTCAGATGAAGAACAGTAATACATGTACATGTTGGATTATTCATTTCCAAATTTGTTTTCTCCCTAAAATTGTTCCCTTTTTGATGTTTGGAAAGTCCAACAGCTTGGATGAGTAGTTAAACAAGCTATTTGGTATAATTTATAGTTAATAGTGTGGATCATGCAGGTTGATCTGTAGATCAAAGAACCCCCCCCAAAATGCAGTTTTTCACAGCTTGGAGTAGTGGTCAGCAAATTTACCATATGAGTTTGTCTCATCCTTCAACTATGAACGCTGTGGACTCATCAAATAAACATACATGTAACTTCATCGCGCAGTAAAGTGACTTCAGTCATTGCATCATGGCAGCATGCATGCATGACCATACCGGTACTGTAACATGCACGTTGGTCAAAAACTGTCCAAAAACATCAATGCACAACATGAACACTTATCGCTATGTACATGTACATAAATTGACAAATGTGGTACCTGTCTTTGCATGATGGGTGAAAAAGTTGTTGTGATTGGAAAAATGTGAGGTTGAATGACTAAAAATTGCCTGTTCTGTTCAAGAATACAGGCTTTGCCACAGAGCTGTAAAAGGAGGAGCCATGTTGTCCAGTGCTGCTACATGTAGCTCACTTTGAACCATACCAAATAGTGTGATGGTGATATTTTTGCCTGAGGTAAACTGCCTCTTAGAAAAAAAAATTCATTTCAAACCAATCCAAATTCTCCTTTAGCCTATCAATTTTCTTAGTGTGTTTGGGTGTACATACAAGTATGTGCGTCTAAGTATGAACATTACAATTAAAAGGCATGTTACATGTAGCAGCATTTATTGTTACAAGTACCTGTTCATACCGGTAGCTACCGTACATGTACATGGACCTGTAGACTCCTGCAACAGCTGCATACGAACCACACCCACATGTACTGTAAATGTACATGTACAGAACATGTTCATTGCCCATTGGCATGTACAAGTGCAAATGTTGCAATGTACTGCGTGCTACATGTACATGTATGTACATGTACATACAGGTTTGACATTGTACTACATGTACATGTATGTGAAAATAGAATTTTTGATGTAAACTGTTGTTTACATCAAACTGTATTTTCCAATGATTGTATGATTGTCAGAAAAAGTACACTGCAAAGTCTCTTTTTGTCGAAATCATACCGTTAAGTACCAGGTAACAGTGTAGTGTGAGATGGAAAGATTCACAGTCTTGTTTTTAAGATTTTGCAGGTCACCAATGGTGTAGTAATGCCCTTAAGGCATGCTATGGTACATGTACATGTAGGTCTGTGTGAATCTCTTCGTGTACATGTAAACCATGATCAGTTTTGTCTGTAAACATTTGCTGTATGATTTGGATATCCTTCAGTTTGCAGCAGATGGACTGAACAAACTTTAAGTGATGTGTTTTCTCATTGTCTGGTGAACTGTCGAATAATAAGCATACATGTACATACATGTAATGCATTTCCACTGAATGACTAATGTCATTTTTCCAGTGTCTCTCAGTGTACATATAATGTAGCTTTATTCTCAGTTACCAGTAGCTAACAAGCTGCTTTGAATCACTGAATGCCTTGTGAAGTTCCGTCTCATGTACAAGCAGAGAGAGTCTGTGATGACGACTTCTTAAAGCACAGAGTTGTGGGAGGGTGTTCAGAAGTTTCAGACTATCTTGCCTAAATCCCCATAGTGTCCCAAAAAAATCCTGCTGAGAATTTTCCAGCCCTGGAGAGGGAGAGAGGTGTGCATGCAATGCATACCATGCCTCAAGTGGTCTGACCAGCTGCCAAACACTTGGTCTTCAGTGGAAGGAGTGGTCTCCCCAATCAAATCAATCCTTGAGCATGTTAAGCCATCATACTCTGCATAGCAAGCATAGCAGGACTATGCTTGCCACAGCGTGGGAAATTGCCTGAGACTAGTTCTCCTTCTCCGGATTGTCCCCTGTCACAAACACTGTATGGGCTATGGACTGGATTAGATATTACAACTTGGAAACCAAACAGGTTAACTATATGTATATACAAGCATGGCACATGTCCAAATCATCAACAAGGATGTAATTCGTCGTAAACATGTTGCTAACCAATACTAAATCAATATGATAAAATGTTTTTAAAAGTCTGTAATTTTTGCAACAAAGTGTGATTTGTTTGGGTGGATTTCTGTTTTCTTCCTGTTCTTGTTGAGTATGCTCAAGTACATTGTCAAGCCATGTGGTTGTTTGAATTGCTAATCAGATAAAAAATGCCTTCCACCATCAGATGACATGATATTGGTTTATATACATGTATGTGTACATGTATACGTGTATAGTTATGTGCTTGTGCATGGATTTTAAAAGCCGATGCATGTACATGTACTGGTAATTCTGCAATCAAAGTGGGAGGGATTTTAACATCCACACTTTTGTTCATCACCCATTAAGAATTCTAAATGTCATGTAGTTTTTAATGTTTAGGATGTTTCTAGTTTTGAAACATTGATAAAAATGTATGCAAATATTGCAGTTTCCATTGAAGAATAACTTCAGAAGCATGTCAGACCAAGAGGTTTCTTGAGGATATTTGACTGTATAGAAATGTTTATTGCATGTAATCACCCAAAGTAATCTACGAACGTGACATGTTGCCTTTAAAATGCAGTTCTGTGTTTCTGATGCAGTTTCTTTGGCTTGAATCCAGCTCATCTTAATGTCATTTGAAATATGTAGGTTGAAGTTTAATCAGTGTCTGAGCTACATTAGAGAGGAGACTTGAAGTTCAAACATAGTTCATCAAGGTATTATTTTCCAATTGCCTCATAGTGGAGTGATCCCCTGTGACCATTCAACTAAAAACAGCCTGTCTGAAACTATCAAAACAAAAGAATTATAGGATGAGTCATGTTTTAGGTGTAGAGCCTGTAGGATTTCTGTGGTTCAAGATAAAGGGCCATCCAAAGATTTCAACAATTTCACAGTCGTACAATTTACAAAGCATACAAAGGGGTTTGTGGGCTGTATACCACATTTTGGATCCTCTAAAATGTTGATTTTTCAGAAGTATTCTGATTCAAATCTAAAATATGAAAATTCAAGAAAAAGATACAATGTAGCATTTACATAATCACTAATTGCGTGCTGAAAGCTGGCTCTGATGGAGAGTAAAATCCGGAAGGTTTGCATGCATCGTGCCCATGGCCACCCGCACCACCGCCCACTGCAGCCTGGTGATTCAACCATGGAGTTCTACATACAATGCACATACATGTAGTGTACCTACACGAGCCCAGCCAATCAGCACGATCATGTCTCTCAGCTCAGTACACACAGCGTGACAAGCCAGCAGTACAGGCCGTTTTCAAATACTTGACTCTGGAACCGTATGAGGCTTCAACTATTTTTCCTATATGATTTCCTCACGGTTCTTTTCAGAACCATACAGACTCACATAGAGATCGTATCCTTGCATGGTGCTACCGCAAGCTTTCCACCTTAGTTGTCTGTCACCATGAATAGCTTGAAATCCCATATGATTTGGAATTGTAAGCACATTAATAAGTTTGATAGTGCCACAAAACAGTAAATAAGATTCAAGAGTCAAACCTTACATTACTTTGACTTTATTTCAACACTTCAGGCCCACAATTGTGGCTTGATTTTGGATATGAAGCCTCAAACGTAGACGAAGAAGAGTATTGGAAAACGGCCGACTATATAACCTTTGACATTGTGACACGTCGTTCCCGTTTAACAACATAATTTTATTTAGATTTGATTTGATTTATTTATTGCCAGATATGATTGGAGTGTAATTTTTCTACCTGTAGTAATTTTTAGTACCTGTACATTAGTCTTCAACCATTTCAATAAAACTAGTCAGTTGAATTTTTAAGAAACCCATTTCTACATTACTTTTCTTTAAAGGATCCAGGAAATGAATTTTTCTTAGAATCACTTTTTGTGTATCTCTGTACTCTTCTCCCATGTGTGAAGACTGTTTGACATCTTTTTTGAGTTAACGTGAACTGAACAGTGCACTTTTTCAAACATTGAAAATTGACCAAGCATTCCTGGACAAATGAGGGCGCTTTTGCTTTGATGTAAATCCAGGAAGACATACATGTAGTTCAGGTTGCATGTTTAAATATTTCAAATTCCTGGTTCCTTTAAGTGAAACCATAGAGGAAGGAAAAACCTCCATGGTGAAACTGACACATTTGCTTATTAAACATCTTTAGATTTCAGAATTTTCACTCTGCAATTGATGATTAAACATGAATGAGAAAAACATTAAATAATATGTTCAAATATTTTTTTTTTACATATTTGACCTTATAATTTTTAGTACATAAAGGTTTTCAAAAGTGCACCTACATGTATATGTATATGGTTATGGGTTGTGGTACTTTCCAGCAATGTTATGCCTAGGGGACATCATCAGTATTTCAAGATCTGGAAAAATATTGATACATGTACATGTAAGTACTATTTTGGGGGTGCTGAAAAGTAGTGCTCTGTGTACTACTGTGAAAATGTTGAAAACTTTGGATGGCCCCTAATAAAATACATTTGTGCAGGCAGGATTTGTATATGGCAGGTCTGCACAGTTCAGAGTGGAATGCTCCATGTGGACACAGATAAAACAATTGACTTTGAAAACCTTTACAGGGGCTAAAAGATCAGTGTACATGTACTGATATCTCAAATAATTGTGAGTGTTTAGTCATTAAGATGAAGATTTGTGGGTTATTGAAGGTCACTACCTTCAATAGTTTTTGCTATACAGGTACCAGGAATGTACCTGTACAGATGTAGACCTACAGTACAATGCAGTTGAAAGTTAACACTGGGAAGTAGAGTGGGAAATTTTATGGGGAAAAAGTCCCTTTTACATTCTCACATGATTTCCAACATCCAAGAAAATGTGTGAAAATCCTTCCATACCTGTGTAAAAATCTATGGAAATTCTTTTCTCAGCTTGGAAAAATCTTTCCCTCTTGTGGAAAAATCTATGAAAATGTTGCCCACTTTTGGAAAAACTGTGAAAATCTTTTCACACTTGGGTAAAGATCTGTGACAATCTTGTACCATTTTGGGAAAGGTTTTCACATTTTATGAAATGAAAATAAATTCCCTGGGTAGAGAAAAAGTGTCACGAATTTCCCCTTCTTAGGTTACTGCAACTTTCAATTTCAATGTACTGTACATGTACATGTACATGTACATGTACAGTATGTGTGCAAAGGGTCTATAGTGAGAAGATGGACCTGATGATCGTTGGTCTTGATGAATATGCCCATTGTTACTATGCCTCTATCAGTCCATAGCTTTCTAGAAAAGGCAGAGGTGTAGATTTGAGAATTGTGAAACACAATTTCCACTGAATAAAAAGTAACCAAGGTGGCTTAACCCTAACACTCCTTAATCCTTCACCTGTTGGAGGACTGAGGAGGGTTAGGGTTAAGTTACAATTTGGTCAAGTGCACAAAGAGTTGCTTTTTATCACACTGTGATTGCTCTTGAAACTATGCTCTTAATCCGAAAGTTCCAAGTGGAAAACACCCGCGAGACTCATTTTGTGCAATCTTCACCAGTTTGTCCATCTTTGCTCTGTGGTTTGTCTTATCTGCTCTTACATGTCTGTTTCTACTCTCAGGTAATGCAGCACTACATTCAGAAGATCTTAGGTCAGAAGTCTCCAAGGAGCTACCATCCCGCATCAACAGACAAAGACGCAGCACAGAGAGAAGAGAACTCTCACAAGTTCTGAGGTTTGATGACCTTCACAATGTTGGCAACAGGTCAGCTGCAGCAACTATGATGGATGATACAGCAGCAGCAGTATCTACAAGGTGTACAGGAACACAAACGTTAGTATTTATTTTGGGATGGTACTGTTAAGTAGTGCTCATCTACATTGTGTAGGGTGGATTACATTGATGATGTATAATTTTACATTGAGAACTAAACTGCAAGTGTTTAAAAGGTAAAGGAAAGTTGGTTTAATACCGGTAGGAGGAACATCACATGGTACTCCTGGAATCACACCAAAGATGATGGTGTGTTCTCGCTCGTATCGTAGAGTCATACAAGATAACTGTTCTTGATAAACCATTTGTATCTCCATTTGATAGTTGTTCCGTCTGTAGTGTTTGTCAGGAATCTACCCGTGTATGATGGCCTTCCAAGTTTCCACTATCTTGTTTAATTGAAGACTAAATATTTGGCCCACAAGCTTAAAATATTTGTGTGATATCTTTGTTTGAAGAAGTGGAGTGGCATGTTTAATGTAATATCAATAAGGAGATAAGCAAAGGTACATGTACATGTATAAGAATTCCTTGTGGTTGATGATAAGATACCTGTACATGATACAGCTTCCAGTCCCATGCACATCTTTCTTCATTGCTGTATTCCCCTGATGCCTGCACACTGGCCTACTAGCAACTTAAGTGTACAGTACATGTATACACATGTACATGTACATGTACAGTACAGATGTACATGTAGCATATATGTACAGTACATGTACATGTAGCATGTATGTACACTGGTTGCATACGAGAAGACCAGTTGATTTCTGTATTACAGTATTTGTCTTGCTTACTTTTTTAACATAGCTAAAATGGAATCAGTGGAGATCCCTTCATTTAGGCCAACAACTTTTTTCAACTTATTTTTATTTCGAAAGAAATGAAAAAATGAAAATTGCAGCAAATTGTGAGATTAACTCTGGCATTCTCTGTACTGTACTAACTGTACTGTATGTGTACATTTCTTTTAGGGGGGACACACTGTAGCCTGTGGGGCCTAATTGAGCATTGGACAAAAATCACAGAATGTCTACATGTACATGTACTATACATTGTATTTGTGCAATCAAATACTTTTGGAAAACATTTTCGAAAGAACCGTTTCATTGAAAGATGTATCTCAGTTTCATGCCCTCACTAGCCACCTTAGGTGAGACTTGATTGACAACCTCCTATTTTACTGTAACAGCAGATGTCTTACTATTTGACCAGTTAAGTTTCCTAGTGTTACTTGGCTGGTTGCAATTGAATATGTGCATAAAAGCAGACATTTGAAGGAATTCAGCCAGCAGTAGTAATTTATTTGTAGGGTTTTCAGAGCAGAAAGTTCTCTGTTCAAGTTCTGTTCGTTGCATTTGCTGAGAGAATTTGCATGGGTTTTATCCAGTGTGTAGAAAAACTAAAAATGCATATGTCAAAAAAAAGTATTTTATTCAGTCTATCTTAAGCAAGAATCCGTGCAGATTAGGAATAAATTTATGAAGTGCTACATAATCTTAACAGTCCCAAATCCTCCAATTTCAATACTGATTTTACATATACCCTAGGGGTTAGGGTTAAGAGTGGAAGTAAAAGGATTCCCATTGTAAATATTTGTAACAAATTGGTGTTGTGATAGTAAAGCTGTAGTTACCCAGTGACATACTAGTATACTCTAACCTGCATGCTGGTCACGTATCAACAAGTCCCAGGCAGTAAGCTATGCCAGCAATGCACTAATGGTGAGGACCCTCATTCCACAGTCATATTTCAGTCCCGTGGAATGGAAATTTGAATCATTGGTGGACATGACCATGGACCATAGAATAATAATTCCCAACTCTCTAGTTGGGGGGGTCTATAGAGTGTGCCTTTCTGACAGTGTGATTCATAGCTAGCTAAAATTTTACTTTGTTGTGGGTAATCTTTGGGGAGGGTTGGGTATAAAGACTGTAAAGTGTGATATGACGTCTTTGCATACCTTTGCCAGCTTTGACATGTGGTGGCATTCTGCTTTCAAAGTTTATAGTAAGGTATCATGACTTGTGCTGAGCAGAGGCAGGGCACTATTTTAAATGTAAAAGAACTTTCAAGTGTTTGAAGCAAAAGAGAAAAGGCAAAAAATATTTCTGATATATTGAATTCTTACACCATCCATTGCACATTTTTCAGAGTGCCAATAGAGTAGCTGTGCGTCAGCTTCTTTGCTGACACTTTTTACTTTGCCCATGACAAGTGTCAGCAAAGAAATTCATTCACAAGCAGATATTTCAAAATACATACATGTACATACTTGCATTTTGCTTAATCTGCAGATTTTATTTTCATAGTTTTTCATCTTCAGACGTCTTGCAATGAATGTGGCTGATGTGAACAATCTGTTTGTATTTTGGATATCCATTTGCCTGAGGGTTCAAACATTCGATATACATCTATACCCGTCATCTGTGATACAGTTTGTCATGCTCAGTCTTTTGAGCGCATAAACAAGGTCATTGGTTAAAAAGTCAGATAATGGACCAATCAATCATGGCTGTGGACCTATGTCAGGGGGAAGGAACCAATTTAATGGCAACTATCAGCATGAAATAGTTGACATTTCAGTCGGTCAACAAAGTCTACCAAAGGAGGTGGCGGTTGTCTTTGAAGTCCAGCTGGTGTGCGTTCTCGTATAGAGTGTGTGTATGATACCGGTACGCACACATTCATGTACCAGTATCTATACCTGTATCTTGAATAGGAATTCAACCATTTTGTGGATGTACATGAAATTGGTCACAAGCCCCAACTCTTTCCCATGAAATCCCTAGGATGCTTTGAAGATGGAGCACACCCTCTTTTTTGCAGAGTGGATGATTTCTTAAGATTTAGGAAGGTTTCAAGCAAACCACCACAGAAAATGAGGATGAATTACATACTGGTAAAATTACTCTCATCAAAGACCCTCTTTGGGGGATACCGGTACAAGATGAGATATTAGAATGTCTAATTTCTTGACTGAATTTTTGTGACGTTAGTTTCATTGGAAGCAAGTCATACTAGTAGATGCCTGGTTTGGCTGGTTTTGTTCCATGTCAATCACAGATCTGTTCCATGTCAATCAAAAATCAATGACATGACCAAAAACTCTTGGTTAATATTCTACTTGCAGAGAAATCACAACCATGAGATTAGAAGACCATGATGCAGGTGTTCCTGATGTGAATCCAGCACTCCCTACTCCAAGCTCTTCATACCTCACCCCGTCTCCCACCCTTCTTCCCACCCCATCTGGTAGTGGTAAGGAGACACAACAGGTCCGACCCTCTGTCATCACCTGTGCTCCATCACAGCCAAGAGAGGGCAGCATCCGGGAAGGACTCTGTAACACAAATAATCCAATGTATGGGAAGACCAATGGATATACATCATCTACATCCACACATTCGACGAATTGCCATCGCCGAGAAATTTCACTAGGTGAGTGAGAACCAGACTAAATTACGTGGTAAGAAGAAATTACATGCCGCACCCCAATGCTAAGAAGAAATTACATGCCGCACCCCAATGCTAAGAAGAAATTACATGCCGCACCCCAATGCTAAGAAGAAATTACATGCCGCACCCCAATGCTAAGAAGAAATTACATGCCGCACCCCAATCCATGTCAATTACTGGACCAGAAAAGTGATATGAAATTGAATTTAAAATAACTTCTTGTTTATGTTCTTTTTTAAGATGCAGAACAAAATTCTTTTGAGTTTCTCATCTGTCAAGTTGTCTGCATTTTGGAAATTTCAATTTTTTTGGTACACTTACAACACAGTTTGGGAAGATATTTTTCAAGGCTCACAGACATTTGTATCTTGTACCATATTAGATATTTAACTGATCAATCATGTTATTTTTCTTTACAAACTTACGACATTTGTGCACATGTGTATGTAACGTAGAGTACATGTGTATTGGAATTTAGATCAGCTTCATGTACATGGATATGGATATGTGCCAGTATGTTCTTTGATATACCACTTCAAACAATGCAGAAATGTTTATCAGAGTAGCCAGAGAGAGGTACATGTAGATTAACTATCCTGTTCATGTTGCATACCAGGGCGTAGCACATTGATAACTTTCCAGCAGTAGCAAACCTTTGGTGAACCATTCATCTGTCTAGTCAAGTGGGCACAACAAAATGATTTACCAGTTTTTCACATTTCCATGGAATACTTGACCCAAGTTATGTGACCTTTTGAGGGGGTAGGTTGGTAACGGAACACATACCGGTACATGTGTGTCTGGTGCTCAAGGAGAATAACATACAAACATTAAGTTGATTTACTGTACCAGAGCCTGTAAAACAATAACATACATGTAGACTAGTAACTCTGGATGTGTACCGCGTAACTTAAAAAATCTTTAAAAATAATATCTGTTTTAAAACAGAGAAGTGGTGTACTGAACTCTTGCCTCTGTTTGTCATTCAGGTGTTTGTGATCCTGTGATTGAGGAGCATTTTCGGCGTAGTCTTGGTAAAGATTACAAGGAGAACTATGGGGCCTCAAAATCAGCCAGTTCTACAGAGGGCGTTGTCACTATGATTACAGGGTCTGTAGATGACCACTTTGCCAAAGCTCTAGGTGATAAGTGGCCACAGATTAAGAACGTAATGGAACCATCAAGTCAGTCACCCCCATCCTCACCTCGACTCGTTCATCCAACCTCAGTCATGTCCACATAACACGTGTTGTCAAAGTAGAGATTCAATTTTCCACTCTTTTGCACAATGTAAGGTTGATATCAGCCATGTCTGGATTGTGCAATTCCACATCATTTGCATAGTATAATTAGTGATTGGAAATCTTACAAGAACTTCGTGTGGATTTCTATAGTTTTGGTCTAGACGTCATGGGGCTCATTAATTGAATGCCATTAGGAATGGCTTGATTGCATGGTAAAAATCAAACAAATTTTGAATTTAAGAGGTAAAAACGTTTCCAAACCCTTGTCAAAGAAACCAAAAGGAAACTTCAAAGTTCTGTAAGAGTTACTTGCTGTTGGCAACACTCGGTTTCTAAAGACTAAATATACCTTAGTGCGGGCACATAGCAAACAATGCTAAGATCACGACCATTCTTCACAAGAATTTTTGTTTGCCCGCAAAATGGCCTGAGTATGTCGCATTATCAATTATACCTGCCCTTTTCGTCTTGGTGCCCAAATTATGAATCCAAGACTGAACTGATGACATTTACTGAAATGGTTATAATGCATTAGAGATTTAATAAGATCTGAAATTGCTACATTATTATCTTAGTTACAATGATATGGCCATGTTGCATACAGTGAAGCATAAGAACAAACATATTTTGCCAAAATCTTTTGGAAACTCAGAATTCAGTATGGTTGTGTTAACCAAGCTTACATATCGTTTTGCTTTGGGGCTTAATATAAGTGTATCAGTAATTTATGACCCAACAAAAATTAACATATTCTGAAAATGTGTTTCTTTTGTAAGTGCACGATGTATGCATGAAGCGGAGATTTGGTGTAAAAAAGACAGCATAGATACATTGTGAAGATGCAATGTAACATAACAGTATACACACACATGGTACGTGTAGGCACAAAATGGTGAAAGATTTTCTTCTGCATACATGGGAGTGTACAACATAAAGTCAATACTTTTGTCAGTTCGCTTGATTCTACAAGCATGAGCAACCACACATTATTTTAGATGTGATCCCACTGTGAATGTTCTGACTAGACTTTATTGAAGTGCCCATTCAGTGTAATGAAGCCTTATATTGTCAGTCGGGTCTTTAAGTATGTTATATTCAATGTAACCTTGTGAGAAAACAAACCTTGACAAATTATGACCAATTTCAATGAAGAGATAATTACCCTTTTCCTTCACTAAATATATAGGAAATAAATGATTGTACAATGTATTTATATATATATTTGAATCCAATGGTCGTATCTGCGATTGATTTCAAATCAGTGTTAGTTCCTTCATGATACCTCGCATGTTTACTGAAATGACCCTTCCAGAGTTTCTTCAAGAATGCTCTGAAATGTTTCCCATCAACAAGTAACAATTCTGATGTATCCTCTACTAAACTCGGTAGATGTCTTCCCCTTTTTCAAATCTTTTCCCAACCTTTTCTTCAGTCGCCCACAAATTTAAGTAGCCTTTTGGCCATGTAGTAGGCAATAAAATGTATTAAATAGGAAACCTTTGTTACATTCATAGTGAATGTGTGAAAAATATATGCACACATTTCTGTAAAAATTAGTGATTATTTTTGTAAATAAATTGATTTATTGTGTGGGATTATAAACAGGAATAAGTTTGTTAGTTTTTTGGATCATGTGGATAGTAAAAGTGAGTTATTTCAAGAATGTGTTTGTCAGTCAGAGCCTTTTGTAAAATGCAGGGTCTAAGTAACTGGATAAAGAAAATCGTAAAGGAAATGTGTACATAATAGTGAAATATTTAACGCATTCCTAAAATTCTTCATTATAATTGAGAAACACTGTGAAAATTCGTGTAGGCTTATTATGGGCATGTCAAATGATTGCATGTGTTTTGTCGATCTTTATTCAGCTATGATCTCTTTTTGTAATGCCAATGTTTCCTTTACTTTTATTCTAAGGCTGCGATACATTCTACTGAAAGAAAGACCAAATTATCATACCTACATGTACGTACATACATGCATTTTGCATCAATTGAAATCAATTACTTTTCATTTGAATTTAAATCCAGATGTATTTAAAGAAGCAAGATACTAAAGCCTTTGTCATTATTTAGAGGCTTACAATAAGTGAAAGCATTAGGCAGTAGAAATCTATTTCCAGATTTTTGCTTCTTACAAAAGCAATGTGAAAGTGCACACTTTAGGGCCGACACTTAATTCATTGGACTCTGCTACTGAAGTAACAGTGACAGCTACAAATTCGCAGAGCAATAATTCATAGTTTTATATTCCATGTCATGACACAGAATCCATTTATGTTTCTGTATATAACTGTAATTATATATTGCAAATGTGCATTGTATATATCAGTATACAATACAAATATTTTATATCTAACAAATCTTTTCCAAATAATTTCGTAGGTGTTCTCTGTGATGCATTTTACAACTTAAAATGGAAATACTAATGTATAATTTCAAAACCGAGAGAAACTGATGAAATCCAGGAAAAAAACCCACTTATATAGAATCTCTAAGTGATATGCTTCAGTCATTTTATGATGGAAATGGTTAATTATTAGTGTAATTTGTAAATGATATAAAGTATGCATGTTATACATTTTTGTGAGAGCCAGTTATTTTCTTATGTAAATATTACTAATGCATATCTAGTCCAGTTAATAAGGCCCTGTCTTGAAAATTAGCGAGAGATATTAAATTTTCCAGTAAATGTGAATAGAAGCAGTTCTGTCAATGAATCAGTAATTTGTAATGAAGTGCTTCAAAAGTGAATAGTTTCATACATGCACATGTAGTTCAATGTTCAAGCTAACTCAACTGTAAAGATGTGTAGGCCTTCGCGCAGGTTTCTTTTGTTAGGCAAATCTGGACCAAGCTATGAGGACATTTCTCTGTTCTCGTAGCTTCCCCTCACAATATGTGGTATGTGTGTAGGTTTCTGTGTTTTATGCATATAATGGCTACCGTATTAATGGAGATGTAAAACCCAAGACTTGACTTCAGCCTTAGGGGAGTACTAAGAATGGGTAATGAATTTCCAATCTCGGATTGACCAAAGGCAGTTGATTTCTTGATGTACATGTATTTTACAAAATGGGTTCAAAAGAACAATGGCTTACAACTAACAAGCACATAATTCTTCATCCCACACCAAAAAAGGTCTATCCAACTGACAGAGTAGGCCTATGTCAAAGAGTGGAGAAAAGGAACATTTGAATTTGTAAATAATTATAAAAAGTCATTGTCTAGAAATTGAATTCTAGAGCTGCAGGGAACCTTTCCAAATACTTCCACATGTTATCCGTGTTGGAACTCTATCATCACTTTATCACAGACTACTACCCCCCCTTTGGAACAGTTGTTGCCGTGTGGAATTCTGACAATTTGAGTGCTGTCTGATCTTGGGATTTGAGGATTCTGGTGTGTGGCATCAAGCTGTGGTATTCAGCCAATGGAAATCCAGGAATGAGAAATATGCTACCATGGGAACCAGAGTGCATTCATCACGTCAAGATTTCTGTCAGTGTAAAGATCCCAAGATGAGCAGGGACTAGAGTTCCTTATAAAAAATCTGCTCAATTTTAATGGCCCTTTTCCCTTCTTGCTATTCACAATCTGTGCTTAAATATTCAGGGCATCATATTGCACCTATTATGTCTTTGAAAGAAATACAAGAATCTTGATTTGTAACAGGAAAAGGTTAGCTGACATTCCTTAAATGTATGATTTTCATATTAGTCATGCAGCAGAGTTTATCGTGTCATGTCATAGTGGAACATTTTCTTCGCCAGTTGTAGCATGGTTATACCCGAAATGACAATTCAATTTAGATCAGACACATCCTACCCAACCCCATCATTAGACTTCTAAATTGTTCCTAGCACTTCTGCTCAAACTCTTGAGAATCTCATGCTCATTTTATTCCTGTTAGCAAGTCCCATTAGAAAATGCCCCCAAAACTTTCACAGACCATTGAAACTTTATCTAGTAAACAATTATGACACACTGATGGAAACACCATGGTCCATAGTTCCCAGGATAGCAATATGATTAATGGTATTCTGTCATCAGTGACATTGGTGAACCATGGAAGGGAGAATCATGATCAGAAAGAGTAAACAGAAAATGCCAACATGCAGCTGTGCAAAGGACTGAACTTGACAGAGATGTGATGGCTTGTTAACTCACATGAAAGAAATTCAACTTGGCTAATCCTTTCAATCTGATGTAACCAATATGAAATCAAGTGTGCATGGAAAGATACTGTCAAGGTTGTCTTTAATAAAGATAGTAATATGTTGGTTGGGATGCTGTGCTTGAGAGCCCCAGAGATACGTATAACCCCAAAATGGCTCAGGGCTTTGTGAGATGAAAAATACAGAGAAATGTTTCATAAGCAGAACTCAAGGGAGATAATTAGCTGAAACATTTGGCAAGTGATTTTTTCATTGATCTTATCAAACTTAAGGTTTTAAAGTAATGCTGTACTAGCACATCAGCATATATCCTGTTTGTAGATTTTCACCTGTAATGAACATGAACTATGAACATGTTTGTGTACAGTGTAGGCTGTGTACACGTATATGATTTTACTTGGAAATTAAAGTATTCCTTAAATATATGTATTAATATTTTGAATGTAATTTTCAATGCATTCTAACTTTCTTTTAGAATTTTCATTGTGCCAATCCTTTTTTAGTCCTCCCCAAGTCCATTTCTCTCTTCAATCCTTTCTCTTATAAATTAGATACATTTATTATCCTTAACATATAAATGTATCTGCATGTATAATTTAATTTTTGATTATTTACTGCATTTTCAAATTATACACCACTGGCTGTGACATGGAAACTGTAAATGTTATAACAGACAATGGTTAGGGTATTAAGTATAGTGAGAAGATACACAAGAGCAAGAAGAATACTTCAGTTCTGCATGATGAGTCCAGATGGCTTGCTGGACGGGGAAAATTTATGACAACTGGGGGAAAGATTTACAGCATTCTTTTGATTGAAAGTCCAGGCGTGAAGCACACTGTTTATTTTTACAAATCAAACTGTCTTCACTCGGATCCTAGCTATGCTTGAGGAAATTTTTCCCTTCTCACATTCAACTCTGTAAATTTTAAATCCGATTACACCTTGGAATTCAGTTTATTAATTATTGAGACTTGGGTAAACAAAGATAAGCTGAACTTGACGAAATTGCAGTTTCTACAAGTGAGAGACAATGGGTTGATCATATCTTGGCTGATAAGCCATGGAGTCCTAAGCTTTAGGTTCAATTCTAGACCAACATTTGCTTAGGGCTACAGCTTATTTTAATCAAATGAAGTCAATTTTTTACAATCTTTTATTTTCTCTGTCTTTTTTAATTGTAGAGCTTTTAGGCAGGTTAAAAACCATCAATAATAAGGAATGACGGCTGAAGAACATGACTCTTGAGCCTAAAGGGAATATCAGGCATTGGTCCCCAGACCACAGTCATCCACACTCACAAGTATTCTTGTGCAAAAACTAGTTCTGCAATACTCCAGGAGGTAAGAATTAACTCTATACATGTACACCTTTGAGCCAATGTTTTGCAAGTTTAGGCTGGCAGATACTATTCCAAATTTTTTCCAATTTGCTAGACTGTATCCATTCTCTGCAAGAAACATGACAGATTTAAAAAACATCCAGGGGCCGTTATATGAGTATTTCACTGTTTCATGTCAGAGGATCATTTTACTCAGATTAATTTCAATTAGTGCTGCAGTTTGCTTGAGGGGAGAACAGAAAACAAGTTGTGGAAAGTTATGCTTTGGAACAGAAATTCTAGAAAGATCAGTAGTGACTGAATTAGTTTCCTCCACTTGCACTGTTTAAATATGAAGTTCAAGTTTGGTAATGCCCGTTTCACTTGCAGTGTTGTGTGTGTGTCATCTACTTTAATTTCATTTTATTCAACAGTGGTTAATGCTGATCAAGGACTAGACACTTTTGACATGTGAGCTAAAAAATTTGTGAAATTTATTTCATTCTCAAAATAAAATCAATAAATTTCAAAAATTTTTGTAAATGACAAAGGATACTGAAGGAAATAAACTGATTCAGTGGCAAGATTAAGTAAATAAAGAAGCAATAAAAAAGGAATGTTGTCCACTACATTCAAACAGTTGTCTTTAAAAAATTCAGTTCCTTGGCAAACAGTAAATGAATCATTTAAAAAAAAGCTTACATTTTGCCTGAAATAAAGTCACTTACTGATACTAAAGATACTAAATCTACTGGAAGAAGTACTTTCACAAGTTCATTTTATTTAACTTGAATGTGTTCAATAATCGTGGATTGTTACAGAAATATTAAATTTAAACCTCTCGAATAAACATTGTATTTCCTTTTGTCTGGTTTTGTAAAGGTTAAAATAATGTCCTGGAAACTGAAATATGAAATGAACCCAAAGACAGTTAATAAAACAGAAGTCTATGGCATTTAATAGTGGGTACATTCATTTTATGAGGAATCACAAATTTATCAGTCATATTTTAAATAAAATATATACATTTTAATTTCATTAAATGCTTTCACTTGAAATTTCCTGACAGTTCATAAAAGTTAATCAAATGAGGAACATTTGCACACATGTACTTTAATCTGCTTTTTCTGAAGTGTGATTTGAAAGTTTGCATGCCGGAGGCTACACTGAGAGACAGTTTGCGGGTACACCATTTGAAATCGATCTCTTCTATAAAAGTAGGGGGGTTCAAAACACCCCAAAGAATAAGAAGATAAAAGAAATGGGGAATATAATACAAGTTAACTAAAGTAAGTGCACCAATAACATTATAAACAATGTGTGTCATGTAATGTACATTTCATCATAATTTCTGTTTGTCTGCAAAACATAAAACCTTCATAAAATCTCTGGCCTGACCCCTCCCCCTGGAAAAATCCTGGATCTGCCCCTGCAGAGTGGTGGTTTGTGATGATAAGAACTGGTAAAATGGATGTTGGTCCTATACCTGCAAACCTTCTCTCGGTCTGCTTTTTCTTTCAATACCTCTGTATTCAGGTATTTCCATTTCTATTTAAAATGCTGTTCTGGAATTACTTTCAGGGAAAATTCTGCAAAAAACACATTGCCCTCTGATCTAATAACTGCTTAGTATCAGATGGAATTCCATGTGTAGTTTCACGTTTCATGCATTGTCTAGATTTTACATTGTATGATATTAGGGACTAATATGAATAGAGTTTGATTTTGCTGTTATTTTGCTGAAGGTTATCTTAATAATCAATGAATGACACTAATTGTTGACACAAAATGTAATATATACATGTATAACCCTTTGATACAAGAGTATTACATTAAGACAAAAACAGTTACTGCCTTGCTTTAAGCTTTCTTCATTTCTTCTTTATTTCAATAGAACTGTAAACTCAATTCATAAATTGCAGTTGGTTCCTTTCTACTGCTTTATTTGGCCACAATGAATAATTACATTTCACATATTTTCTCCCCTTAAAAATATTTTTGAGGGAGCTAAAGGCTTTTAATCAGAAACTGGATGAGTTATACATAATTAAAAATCAACAAATCACACCATTTATTAGCAGTTGTTTATTTGTTTTCAAAGCACAAACTTTCAATATGCATCACTTTCTCGTAATTTATCACCTATATTTAAGCTTTGTAGACACATATTCTAGCAGTTTCAACCGCGGTCTTGTTCAGCAATCTTCAGATATGAACCTGAAGGACTGTGGTATTCTATCTGTGAAGCAGCATAGCGTGATGGGATTTTCACTCAAGGGATTTGATACTCTCCTCATCACTAAAATCCAGCACCTTAACAACAGAAGATCAAAAGTCATACCATTAATAGGGTACACTCATTAATGGCATTACCCAACTCATTACTTGACTACACAGTGCACATGTAATCCGCATATAACAAAAATATTAATTTGCCAATGTCAAAGAACTTTAATGTCATGGCTAACATTTACACACTCTATCTTACATCTCCACCGGGTAAATGAAGTGGTATCAACACAAAACTCATTACATCAAACAAAGCAAAAATATCAAAAGGTAACAACTTCATCACATATGGGGAAAAATAAAACGTCAAAAATCAACATAAAATAAGGCAATGACATCGTATCATGCCATATGATGAAGCAAGTATTGCAGTAGAAATGTGTGGGTCAGTCTTAAAGGACGGCACAAAGTTAAACCAAGTTTTGTGAAATTGGCTGTTGTAGAGTTGTCTGTCACAACTTATGAGTCTAGACTAATACTGAAACATACAATGTCACTTGGTTGCCATGAAGAGTCAGATCAGCATCCTCAAAAGGGTACCAAAATGAATACATCGCACACACAGTTATGTGTGTAGTAGGCATTAGTGAGAGAACCATCTCATGAACTAACAATCACATATAGTCCATTTGTTTGTACTACACTTTTGGTTCCAATGTCACACTTTGGCACTCATAGGCTGTGCACTAACTAATACCCTAACATGCTGATAATGACCAACTACTTTCAAACTATCAGACTCACATCATAATTATCCGTGTCAGCATGCATCTTGGTCAGACCCGTCAAATCCTCAAGATAATGAGGCTCATTGAAAGCACGCAAGAGAAACTCAAATCCCTCCATCTCATAGTGCTTGAGCACAATTGGTGAGCAAGCTGTACACATATCAAATGCCATGCTAGCAGGTAGAAGGCTGTGGTAACGGGACAGGAAACCACGGATCTGGAGAAATAAATGAAGGACATTTTTACTAATCCTTTTCTTTATCTTGTGGCTTTGTGAGGAATCACCTAATAATTAGGAAGGGTTGCTACTGTAACAGGCTTGGGTAAAAACAACAGAGACACAGGCCTCCCAATAATCCACTAGGGAAAGGACTGTTGAAAGTTTCAGACAAGGCTGTCAAGACAACTCAATGTAATGATTAAATTTGGGTGTAATTCATATTGAATATATTTAACAGGCCATTTTGACATCGTATTGGAGGTAACGGAGAGGGGGATAAATTCATAGGCTGCATCCAAATCTGTTCTCTAGAGCTCGATCTAAGTCTTCACAATATTGGAAATACAAAGAGAAATTTACAAGAGATAGAGAAAAGACACCTCTTGATTTGACTATTTTATTAGTTTCTCCAAAATTCAGCTTAACCCACAATAATAATAGTATGAGCACATGTCCAACACTGTAAGATATATACGTTCAAACATAAGTCCTTAAAAGACACTAATCTAATCTAACATTGTCTCCAGCATTCTGTAATCTAGTACTGGTACATTGCCTCCAGCAATATGTAATTTAGTACATGCTAACACTGTCTCCAGCATTTTGTACAATCTAGTACATGCTAACACTGTCTCCAGCAT